CACTTACCACAGCGCAGCCGGGAACCCGTTCGGTGTCCCCCGGCGCGGCCGGTTAGAACTCCTAACTTTTTATTTTAGAGCTCACCCTTTGTGGCTTAGGTTCGCGTGAACGCCCTACTGCCTGCCCCGAGTTCTTTCTTTTGTACCTCGTCAATTGTTCAACTTTCGCGCCAGACATTTTGCAGTTCTGAAAACGTTAACTATTTTTCTGACGGGATCCATAAATTGGACACCTTGTATGATTTTTGACGTGCGTTTGTTACTTTTGTTTGGAGTTATTTCGTTCGTGGATTTCGCGATGTATCTGGGTATTTAAGCACTTTGATATATAGGGAACTCGCTTGATATTTCAGCAACCGACTTTAAAATGATTTAATTTAATCATTATGAATTTACGAATGATGGGTGTTTAAAACTTGTCTAACTACAAGACAAAAGGTCTCAAGTTTGATCCTCGCAATGTAAACATCTGTTTCTTCTGGAAGTTTTCAATGATAAACATTTCAAAAAAATGTTTCAGTAGATACGATATAATACACCGTCTTGTTTACAGGTATTGTGGCTTTGCTCTGTCTGGGACAAGATGTCCAAGGCGATTTATTTATGTAGACCTATTGAATTTAAATTGGGTGCGGATTTACTCACTTTTACCTACATCATTTTTTAAACTATATTGACCTATTTTCCTGCAGTTCGGCTTTCGTAGTAACTAGCTGCTGTAACGTGACAGATAAGGGTGCCGACCAGCACTCGAGTCAAGTGTTCTGTTATCAATTATTTTGAACCCTACGCAGGCCCTTCTTATCGCCGCTTATCAGGAAACAAAAGTGGTTAAAACACTGTTGCTGTCACCTAACTGCGTTTATGTTGGCACGTTTTTCATTTTCGCATTTTTGTTTCATGGCGGACAAATGACGAAATAACAAACACAATTTCTATCTTAAAGGCTGAGTTGCACCATCTTACTTTGACTCTAACAAACGTCAAAAATCTGGCAGACTCTATAGAGTCTACATTTTGTATACAAAAAACGCCGGTTAATTTAGTTACTGCCAAAGTAAGATGGTGCAACTCAACGTAAGTGTTCGGGTAAAAGTTTTGTAAATACTTAATTTAATTTCCCGATTAGTACCTATATTAAAATTAACACTACTAATGTGAAAGAAGCTCTGTATAACATTTTCAGGCCTAGACTGCTGAACCAATTTTAATTAATTTTAGTATTCCATTAGACCAATGTTTAGAAGGCAATTTTATATAATATCATTGTTAGAAGGTCATAATGTTAACTTTTAAATAATGAAAGTTTCTTGAGTAGGGATCCATCCATCAAAATCCATCGTAGGCATAAGGTACTAAATTAACAATTAAATAAATGAAATACTTTGTGTAGTTATTGATAAATTAAATTTTCAATATAATATGCGTAAGCATTAACAGGAAAACTAAAATAAGATTTACGGGTTTTTCACATAACGATATTTTAAATAAGTAGGTAAGTACCTAACTACCTACATATCCATTTATCACTCTGGCGAATTTATAAGCATTATCGAACACGAAATTGTTTTAGTCACGTGTTAGATATTATCACTATGCGGTTTAGTTATTACGCAAATAGCGAACAGATAAATCTGTGATTTAATTTATACCGAGAAAAATGATTAAACTTCAGATGATAGCAACGGCACCTCAAGCTAATCACTGTAGGACCTTAAGTGGTTGTTGTAATAAGGGCGATTTCACAACAAAACAGTTTGCCGAAAAAGTTACTGCTTTGTTTTTTTTTTAATTTTATTTGTGACAATCTCATTTATGAATGACGTCTCCATAATTAGGAGGCATAAGTAGGTATAATTCTATCGAAGCATTCATATGATCAGATTGTTCATTATAACTTAGGTACTCAGAATATTAAAATTATAAAGATTACGAAATTATCAATTTATTACGCATTGGACAGTCAACAAACAACAACTTTTCGATGAAATTCATTTAAAAAAATTTTAAGTAAGTAGGTATGTATGTAGTACATAATAAGCAAGTGATAAAACAGTTATTTATTGACATTGCACCTGATTGACCTGTTGATTATTCTTGCATATACCTACATAATATAACGAGCATTTTGTTTACATAACTCAAAAGTTCAGTGGCCTCAGATACGTATTTAACAAACTATTCAATAAATGACATTGGTAAGTTATTTTACCGCAGTGTTGTCACACTACTTATTAGTTTAGTACAATCTTTTTTTATACGTTGCGCGTTTTTCATCATAAACGTTTGAATAGATTTATTTTTCTATGGATAGACATATATCCATCCATTTTTATCGGACGGGAACTTATTATTACTTATTAAAATCATTTGAAGCTTTTAGTAACTTGTAGAAAGTTTTTGAAATTATTTTAGACGCGTTTTTTAAGGGACAGACTTGTGGAAAGACCGAAAACCATGCAGGCGAAGCCGTGAGCAGAAGCTAGATGAAAAAAAAAACATTTGATTGTCCACTACACACCCTAAAATGGACCTAACATACAAGTAATTCTGTTAACATAGTTTATCAATAATGGATGACCCAGTTAAAGTCACTTAACTGATACTCTCTATCTATCTAGATTTCGTGTGTGCCAATGAAAGTTTGTTTCAATAATATGTAGGTATCAGCCAAAACAGGCAGTACTTTATTTAGGTAGGTAAAATAAATTACAAATGTATTGGTAATATTCGAAAAAGTTTTCTTTTACATTACATAGTATAGCTTCTAAAACACAGTAAAATTGGCCTATGCACGCGCAGTGATCGCCATCGCCGACGCGATCTGCACTCGTTGGTTGGTTTGGCTGAAGCTTAAAAAGCGATTTCTATTTTTTTACTTTTTTTATACAGTTTTTTCTTTTTAATAAGATTATGATCAATTTGTACTTAACGCACAAATTGTATTTAATTTAGTGCTTTTTATGACAAGATCACCTAGAATAATATGTTTATTTAACTAGTGCTATAATAATCTTTCAAAGTACCCAAGTATGTTACTTGTGTCACAGAATGGCAGATTGACTAATTAATTGAAAAGTCAGTGCTCTGTTGATAATGATAATTTATGCAATAATAATACAAGATACATTGCAATGATTAGACCAATTAATGGCTTATGGTGGCCCTGGTACCTACTTTGGGATTGAATGCTTAAGTTATCAAATTGTAACTTTTCTACTATTTGTCTAAATTCTTTTTAAGTTGACAAGTTAAATAAGAAAAGTTGAAGTGATCTACTTTGAAATGCAAAAATCCTGAATAACGAATAAAACCTATTTAAAGTATTTTTTTTAGTGTGCTTAAATTTATGAAGATAAACCATGTTTTGTGCCCCAAAGGGGTACCTTTTTTAATTATTATTTTTGATATTTAAGTGCCAAAACAAAATACTGTCAAAACGGAATAAAATATTTTTGATTTGTTTTGAGTGAAATCTTTTGCCCTTTTGCTTCTTTGGAGACATGGAAGTTTAGTGGTAATGCTTACTTCGTCTCTATTCGTAACAATATTGAAGTATGTTTGCCAGAGCCTAAGTTTAGCTTGGTTTAACGTTAAGACATTGGCGTAATACCTACTTGGAAATATTTATCTAATACGTACATCATATGAATTAGTGTTATTAAATGGTTATGAGAATTCAGCTTCGTCAAATCCTTAAAACTGGCATACCAGTTGATAACCAGTATTATCTTTGTGTACACTTCATATCTTTAAAACAATGTGCGTTTGTTTCAATTTTTTATCTTAACATCAATGGAGGAATGACTTATGATAATGACCAACTTTAAAAATTATTTCAAGTTCAATGATTCCGCTGATAATGAAATTTTATTTAATTAAGTAACAATTGACTATTCAACCAGAATTTAAGTAATTTTGCTTAAAATTTACACATTTGCTCTTTGAACTTCTATTATTAGTCACGTTGAACAGCGTTAAAATTAAATTCTAGGTAAGTACAAGTGTCAAATTGTCTCCTATATGAATATTGTCAATGGGAATTTGTGTTCAACAAGGACATGATATTGACATCAGCCAAATCATACAGTAGAATATTAGTAGAATCGTACAGTAGAATATTAGTAGTAGTAATAGGCACATAGTATCCCTTTACACCATTATTATAAAAGGTAGCAATTTTATTCAAGAAGTCATAATTACCTATTAGATCAGTTTAATATTGGATGGACCAAGATTTTTTTTATACATATTGTAAAATAAAGTAAGTAAACCGACCTAAATAGAATAGAAACTGGATACAGTTGGTTTTGAATTTTGATAGGAGAATAATTAACTTTTTAAGTTTTTTTGTTTGAGATCATGTTAAGTTTTAAAAAAGGTATTATGTTACCACCAGTAAAATAAACGCAGAACTTTATTACCTCTATGGATTAATATTGTTTGAGTTGACTAATGTTAAACTGTAGTTAAATGTCTAGTGTGAGAAGTAGACAGATGATTTCATGTCTCTTGAAGGTGTTGTTTTGATTAGCATATTTAGCATTAAAAACAAAAGTGTACGCAAATAATCGACATTCATCTGCTAGTTAGCTATTTACAATGGACGAAACTGGCAGATTGTATAATAATGCGTGCGTAAATACTACTTATCACATATTGACGTAGGTAGGTGGCAAAGTCTAGCGGCTCTTCTCACAGAAGAAAAGAGCAACCTGTCTCCGATGTTCGCCTCATTCCAACGCAATTTGTTACTATTACGAGCACGACTCCGGCCGATTATTTAACAAGTCAAATGCTCAGCGACGCGCCGAGCGGCCCAGCGTCTATTCCGAGGGCGTTCAACCTTACCAGCACGACCTAGCAACACCACGGTTCTTCACAATGGCCATGACATCGAAAACAACAGCCTCCGGTTACTGGAGCATTGACTTTTCGGCCGCCGCCAAAACTTCGGCGACCGTTCATTTATTTACTAACAGAAAGTTATTACGACTCACCTGTCAGATGACTCGGAGCTGTCGTATCTGTCGAAGCATCTTTTCTTCCTGTCGTCGCGGTCCTCGATGTTTGCTTCGCGCGATTTTAGGGAATTCGTCGTCGTGACGACCGCCGCGGAATCATTCGCGGCCACGCCGCGCGTATCACTTTTCTCACACGATGCACTCGTTTCTAGTTCAGTGTATAACGATAACTTCACTTCATCGCCGTCAAATGTTTCCCCACTACACTTTTTTGTGTCACCATGTCCTGGGCCGGGCGCGGAAAAAGTTAAATCGTTCATTTGTTTCGGGCCGGTGCGGTCCTCGGGCGACCCATCCGCCATCTTTGAGCGCACGAGTGTTTTGTAGATAGTTTCTGTGCGGCGCCGCAGGCAGCATGGGCGCTGTAGTCGCGCGTCGCAGCCGCGGGGTGCGGGCGGGTGTGACGTCACGGCGGCTGCGCGGCCGCGGGGGCTGAGCGCGGTGACGTAAGGGCCCCGCCCCGTGCATGTGCAGAGGCGCTGTCATTGGCCGCGGGTTACGCAACGCGCAGGCCTATTCAAATAGCGCGGAAGAAGGGAGCGTAAGGGCCAATGCTATAGGGACGGGCCCGTCCTGCCCTAAACGTAACAAATAATGCAGGCGTAATGACCGTGCACAGCACGCACTCAGTCTCTCCCGCTCTTGTGCGGCCGAGGAACAAGTGTATAGAAATTAATGACACGTTTCACCCTTTAATTTTTCCAAGTTTGTCATCCTATTCTCAGCCACTTAATTGGGTTGACACTTAAGTTTTTTCTGGAGGAGCTAATAATAACACAAATTATTCAACTTATGAAGAATTAATTGAGTCTTGTTGTTAGTACCTACCTACCACCTTCACAAAAGTTGACAATTATCATCAAAAATGCTTATAGTTTTTAATTTTAGTGACAGGAAAGAATGTAAGAAAATCAAACTAAATCCTACCTCCCACTTACATGAAATAAAAAAGAGATTTAAATAATGAGTTGAAGATTTTGAGTTTTTGATAAATAATAATAAATAATAAAGAAACTAATTTATATAATTTAAAATAGGTACGTATAAATAGTCAACAAGACTATTTAAATGCAGTTTAGAACTTGACTTAGTTAATGTTTGATATTTTATTAAATAATTACTTAAATAATAACAACCAAATTATGTATGTATCAACTTTGTTATGTACTGTATTCTTTACAACAATATGCTGAATAAACTATTCTTATTATCTAATTCTAGTCAATTTTAAAATGCACTAATAACTGACGTTTAGGTAGGTAGGATTTATACAGACATGCATTGGAAGCAAAAAGTAAGATTAAGCAATTATGATCTGAATGTTGTTGACGTAAGGTGCATTTATAATCGATCCGGGCCTAGGTGAGAAATGATTATCATCATGCACTTTGACTTGATTAAATCAATGAACTATGCACCGTATGCGTACGCAATTCGGCTCTTTTTTGTTTGATGTTCTCGTCTGTTTCTGAAGCTTAGCTAACATCGGACACTCCCTAACTTATATTATTTTAATTTAGTGTATAATTAAAAAGAAAGATTTTCATTCGTTTATTCTTTTCCAGATGTTAGCATGAATGTGAATCAGTATAAAATGATAAATAAAATTATAATAACACATTATTTGCAATAAAACTTTTTTGTCTAATTTTTTTTAAATCCGACTGCGCAAAAATGAGTTCATTAAAAAAGAAAAAAGGCGATCAATGAATTTTAAAACTGAATAAAGGTTAAAACTACTCACTCAGTTCATCACTTTTTTATTTTTTGCAACACATTCGTCTTGCAACGCCATCTATCGCCGTATGAGTGAATTATATTACACTGGACGCAACCATGCTAGTAAGGGTATGAACCGCCATTTTTTGTTGCCTCTACATAAGCATGAAACCATAAAATATACCTTGTGGTGTGTAAAATCCCGTGTCAGGCATTGACTGGGAATCGGATAGACCATCACCATCTACGGATTGTTTTCCAACTACAACGAACCGTCCATCACATCAGTGACATTGACAGGGGGCGCCACCGTCAATACCGGATCGCGTTGGTTCCGATTTTTGCCATGTTGGAGACTATCTTTTTGAACGATGGTGGCGCCTCCCTGTCAATGAGTTTGGTGGGACAGTTCAGTGTAGTTCATCTAATGAGAGTTGAATTTCAAACACCCTTGTTTAATAAGAGCAGCCATTAGAAAAAGTTACTGTTATGTATGGTTTGGGGGAGTGAAAATGTGGTGATATCACCCATAAGGAAATAAAATAACTTAGTTTGGTAAGAAATATAATTTATTAATATTAGGTAGGTATACGTTCAACAAACACAACACAAATATTTTGTTAGTAAATAGTATTTATTTAGGGAAAAATAAAGCTAATTCTGAATTCATAATAAAATGTCATAACTCATATAACATTGATTTCATAGAACATTTACCCCCTTACTAATAAAAAGTTACACAGTTGTTGAACACTGTTTTAAAATGACATTTACATACTAAACGTCACTTTTAAACACTGTTCAACGAGCGTGTAAGTTTGATTAGTAAGGGGGTTAGTTATGTTGTATTCGGAGTTTGAGGTTAGCAAGTTTATGTATAAAATTGTAAATGGAATGGTATATTTGTACTTGAAATTGGAAGCACTCTTAAGTACGCATATAAATCGGACTTTACAGATATCAAATTGCACCAGAGTAAACATTTAAAAAATATCAACATTCAAAATATGTTTTTATACCTACATACTCTTTTAGAACTAACAAGATTGGGTCACAAATCGACCGTAGTGTCAACATCTCACAGGTTATTTTCATGTTTGACAAACTTTTGCAACACAAATAAACCAAACACAATTAAATAACTACTAACTACCTCCTTCCTAATAAAATTTACACGCTTGTTGAACACACAGTTTTTAAGTGACGTTTTTGTATGGAAATGTAATTTTAAAACAGTGTTCAACGAGTGTGTAACTTTTTATTAGTAAGGGGGTAAGGGGGGGTAGTGAGGAGTTATTGATAAAAAACCTCGAAATGTCACCCATAAACACAACAAACAAATATATTTTTTATCATTAATTTATATTAACATTTTTATGCAGGTTACGTATTTGCAGTAAATTAAACTTTTAATTCGAGATTTTAAGTATAAACAAAGAAGAAAATTGTTATAACATACATAACTAAAGAAAAACTATAATATGGTAACGTTATCGCAAATATTGAAATCACATTAATTCAACCGAAAAAAATGAACTGCCCACTAAACAACCGAGAAAATAACAAATGAATTTAAAAAAAAAGAGTAATTGCCCGTTTACCAGCAATCCCTAATTTTTAAGTAACCCCTATGAAAACAAAATACCCGTGTAAACAAAACGAAAGAAAACAAAATGTAATGTTGTAACACATACAATTTATAAGTGATCCCTCACTTAAAAATTATGGATTGATGATGAAAACGGGCATAATACTCGTATTTGTTTACAATTAAAGTCTACAATTAAAAATTCATGTACTGAAAATAAGTAACCACGTTAACATTTTAAGAATTTTGTCCGTGATTTGTTCGACTTGTGTATTTCACACTTAATGGACTTATCTTACTTAACAATAAATAAATAATATAAAAATAAGAGATACGAATATAATCTCATTCGAAAATTTTACTGCTACTCATAGTGTATTTGTAGTCTAGTATTAAAATAATTACGTCAAATATGAATACAAATATAATTTGATTTTTTAAAAATTTATTGATATCGCTCCTTACAAACTAATTATTAGATTTTGAAATAAATGTACAGTCAACAGCACATCAGACTATACATTTTTTGACAAAGGTGGCTGAGTTTCTTCCGCCACTTCTACCAGCAGAAGTGGTGGTAGGGCAAGCTATATTTGGGACGTGTATAAGTGTCCTGGAAAGGGCCTATGTTACTGAATAAACTATTTAGATGTTTTTAAAATTTGTAGCAAAATAGCACTTATTAAAACGCCATAAGATGCCAGTGTTCAGCCTGATGTGTTGTAGTCTGTACTTATTGAAAAATATTTTGGCAAGTACATACTCTATCCATTTTATTCTTTCTACAAGAAAAATGTATAAATTTACTCATCACAGATTTCATTATATTATTTTTGTAACAGGTTCCAATTTAGGGTAAAAAGAGGGTACTTTATACCTAGGAATTTCACTAGATACAATGTCCCTTTCTAGACAATTTTCTTGGGATGACCTGCCTCATACATGTGACATTACGTCACATGTTGAAAAGTGCGGTATGCTTACCATGAGTTTATGTTAGATGTGCTCACTGGCAAATGACAATAAATTTTAATGTATGACAGATTGTACACTGTACAGCGCCCCTAGCGGCTGTTTTTAAGAATTGAAATATTCATAGATTTTTTGACGCATTTGCGAGCACACCTAACGTAAACTCATGGTAAGCTTACATATTCAAATACTATGTGCGGTTTTCTTCGCCAAAGAGAAAACATAAGCGCCGATTATATTGAACAAAGGACTCCGTCTATGATTTTACAATTTAATTCAGTTACTTTAAATAGCACCTTGTTATTGTAAATCCTATTTTGATATGGTTATAGCTCAATTTAGCACTTTTTAGGTCGGCCTATGGCTCTTTATATCTGACACAAAGATTGGAAGTAAGTAAGGTAAGTTCAACTTCAAGGATATAACACAACAGCGCTTTAGACTGTTAATAGAAAACAAATGAATGTTGCCTAAACGAATTAATATCGAGATAACGAATTGAAGCACATCTAAGAAATCGAAAGTTATTATAACATATTATTACTTACTGTTAATTGTGAAAAATATAAAACATTAAAATAGCGGTATCGTTATAGCCAATGAGCTGCTGTCATAGTGACATTGACGTATTGTCAATGTCACGCGAGAATCAAACGGCAGAATAGAGGGACGCGCGGAGACGACTCCGCGCGCTTTTGTGCTAAGTGATGAATTGTAATTAAAATAAGGCAATATAATGTGAAAGATGAGTATCCAGTGTTTTATTTATGAGAATAGATCGACCGGCCTCTAATATTACGTAAGCATGTTATTAACTTAAACAATAATTTGTTAAACATTAATTTAATATGTAGTTAAAAAAAAATTAAGTTAACTTAGGTATTAACTTTAATAATAATAAATAGACAAGCCACACATGATAACACAGTTACTTAAGGTACGAAGGCAATCAAATAAATTGTAAATATTTCTTTTATTGTAACTTATTTTTAAACTATAAAAATATATTTATAAAGATTATGCATTTTGTTTTAGGAACTAATTTTAAAGTGAATTCTCGATATTAATTTGGTGAATTGTATCCATTATTTATTTCAAATATGAACGTAAAATTTTGAATATGAACATACCTTCTCACTAACGATTTCAAAGCACCTAAACATCGAATAAAAATCTACTGATTTTACCATGGAACTATTGGAAACAAATATACAATTTCAACTTAATATTACATAGTTCTGCCCCCCT